GATTTTTCCACCCCAGTCTGCTGCCTGCCCTGCCCCTTCATACCCAGCATTGCCCATCCCTTCTGCAGAGCCATCTCAGTCCCAAGTATCCCCTCTCCTCTCCCCATGGCCTGAGGAGCGTGTCCCGACTTGGAGAGGTGGCCACTTGCTCCCATGGCATGCAGGAGGCAGGGGACGGGTGCCCACCCCAGGGTGGTGGCAGGGGATGGGTGCCCACTCCAGTGTGGTGGCAGGTGCCTGTCCTGCCCCTTCATCCCCGGCATTGCCCATCCCTTCCGCAGAGCCATCTCAGCCCCACGTATCCCCTCTCCTCTCCCCATGGCCCGAGGAGCGTGTCCCGACTTGGAGAGGTGGCCACTTGCTCCCATGGCATGCAGGAGGCAGGGGATGGGTGCCCACCCCAGTGTGGTGGCAGGGAACCAGGGGGGAGCCGCTGCCGGGGCTGAGCACCAAGTGTGGGAGCTGCCCGTGTGTCCTGCCAGGTGGGGTGGGACACGGGTGGCCCCTGTCACATGCCTGTAGATGTCACTGTCCCCCTGCCATACCCGGCCGAGCGGCCGTGGGTTGGGAAGGGGCTGGGAGCCGGAGGCCTGGATGTGGCAAACGGGGGAAGGGGAAAGTGGTCCCCAGGGCGCAGGGGCGGCAATGAGTGTGGGCATCGCACGAAGTGGGGTCTCCGCCTGCATCACCCTCAGGGGTGGCCAAGGATGCCCTCCAGGTCCCATCATGCCCATCTTTTCCTGTTCCAGGGCTTTCCCTGCCTGTGGTTTCAAGCAGGCAGATGGGGAGGTCAGGGGGTCCTGCCCACCCATCCCCATCGCTTGGCTGGTGCGGGCATGGGGGCAACGCAACCTGTCCCCCTTCCCTGTGCCCCCGCGATGGGATGGGCCAGTGGGCTTGCCTGGGGTTGACTCTTCAAGAATCTGTTTCAAAAAGCAAAAGAAAATGAGAAAATGATAGAAATAGCTGAGGGAGTGCTGGGCAGGAAGAGGAGGGCTTGCGGAGGCAGGGTCGGAGGAGCAGGCAGTGGCTGTGCCCGGGCAGGAGCCAGGGGAGCCGGATGGTTGCCACCCCGAGGGATGGCTAGCCCGGAGGCACGCAGGAGGCCATCCCCGAGGGGAAGAGTTTGTACGGAGCTGCAGCCGCTCCGCAGCCCTGCCAAGCCCGAGCGCTCAGAAACCTCATGAGTCAGATGCCCTAAAAATCCAGCGGTGGGGCTGGAAAACGATGAGCCGCGAAATGAGGACCAGGCAGGAGCGTGCGCAGGGAGTTCGGACGGGCTTTCTGCTTCCCTTGACTCTTGAGAGGTCATGCGTGGAGGCTCGTGTCCCCGAGCAGCACCGGGGCTGGGAACACG